ACACACAAATAAATCTGGGTGGGATGAGGACAAGTCAGAAACTGTAGCTGCTTCATCATTGCATGCATGATTAGAATCTGCTTTTTAGGGACCAAACTAAAGAGGATGTTTTTGAATCTATAATTATTATTATTATTATTATTATTATTATTATTATTATTATTATTATTATTATTATTATTATTACAACTACGTCGTACTGGGTAGGTTGATACTTGTACAAATTAAACCGAGATATATTTGGGGTTGTTGGAATATAATAGAAGAAGCATAAACCCATCAATCATTCAACTTGCTTTACTTCATTCTACTGTGCCCCTGAAAGCTCCAATTCAGAAAAAATATGCTTTTCTTGGAAGGAATAATATAATTACATATGTTGTCATATGTGTCTTTCTTCTTCAATTCCCAGATCCAAATAATTATTACAGCACCACCGGCCAGGGTATAAGTCTATAGCTAGCTCGTGACCCATATCATATTTATAAGAGTGTTTGGTAAATGACAGTTAGTTGATAGCTATTAGCTAATTAGATTAGCGAGTTTAACTAGTTGATAGCATTAGTTGATTGTAAAAAAGTATTTGATAAATTAGTTGTTAATTGTTAGCTAATTACATACAAAATTACTTTCTCAAAAAGCTAATTAAGTTTGAATTTTAATATTTTAAAACAATAAGTTGTTACAAAAAACTAATTAATCAAACACTTATGTTGATTGTTTTATACTAATAATGATCAAATAAATTAAAATTAACTAATAAACTAACTATTTTACCAAATAATACCTATATATTTTGTTCACCTCGTATAGTACTACAATTTAAGCATGCATGCAGCAAGTGGTTGTGGCAGCCCAGTGTTGAATTGTAGGAGAATAGCCGTTGGGTTTTAAGTACCCCTACTCCTACTCCTAGCTAGGCCCTGTAGAGGTGTCGTCACAGACCAGTGTTCAATTGTCAGATAATTAGCGTACGACAAAACCTAAAATCGACGAATAATTTTAATTTACATTTTCTTTCTTTGTGTTTCTCTGGAAGAAAACAAGAAGAATCAAATTCAAAACTTTTAACTTGTATAAGAATCATATTTTATATACTTAGTCATTCTTTGGAGCAGATTATTTATAGTTTAGTACTAGGGTGTCATGCGCTTTAAATGCAGTAGAACCTTGCAATATATAATGCACGCACGCAGCAGAGAAACATTTTAGATACTAGCTTCTCTTTCTTCTTTTTTTCAATATATTGACACTATAAGCAGAAAGAAACAAAGTGTGATGGCATGTTTATGGTTAAAATGGGCGAGCATAGCTGTTTTACAACTCTACTTTTGGTTGAAGATGGTTGAGTCTTCTTCTTCTTCTTCTTTCTTCTTCTTCTTCTTCTTCTTCTGTGTTAGCGGCTGACAGAATTACCCCTGGGTTGCCCGGTCAACCCCAAGTGTGCTTCAGCCACTACTCTGGGTATGTCACCATTGATGAAGAGGAGGAGCATCAAAGAGCTCTCTTTTACTACTTCGTTGAAGCTGAAGTTGATCCTTCTTCCAAGCCTCTGGTCCTCTGGTTAAATGGAGGTCTGCACTCTGCAATATATATAATTTGCTCTTTCTGCTTCTCACTCTTTATTATGTTTCAAGGTTTTAATTTTGGAGTGTGAAAATGATAGGGCCTGGTTGTTCTTCTCTGGGGTTGGGGCATTCTCTGAAAATGGACCATTCAGGCCAAGTGGGAATGTTTTAGTCAAAAATGAATATAGCTGGAATACAGGTTGGTATTATATTGGAATCCAAATCCTAGAATAATATCCCAGAATATAATGTATGTTTTCTTTTCTGGTGTTAATAATGTATTCATATCAAATTTGGCCGCAGAAGCTAATATGCTGTATCTGGAATCACCAATTGGAGTTGGATTCTCCTACTCCACTAATTCTTCCTCTTATGAGGGCATAAATGACAACATCACAGGTTTTTCTTTTTCTTGAATCTTTGATTTCAAAGTAGTCAATCAAAGTATCTACATTTCCAGTGCAGTCATGGCTCTATATATCAACTAGAAATCAACTTTTTTATGTTCTTTTTGAAATGTTTCCTTTTTCCAAAGATGAGAGAGTAGTATTGTGTAAGCTTCCACTTTACTGTTACTTTTTGTTTTGTAGATTCCCCTTTCACTACACTCACTGCAACTTTTGTCTGTTTCTTTATGTCTTTGCTTCTATGCTAACAGCTATGGACAATTTGGTTTCTTGCAAAAATGGTATCTGAAATTCCCACAGTACAGAAACACAAGTCTGTTTATTGCTGGAGAAAGCTATGCAGGTAGGTACCAAAGTTTGTTAAAAACAAAAAGAGTCAAGACAGAAAGACAGAACAACACTTGAACATACATGACAACATTTGTTTCTAATTTGTGAGCAGGCCACTATGTTCCTCAGCTTGCACAGATGTTGCTGCAATCCAACGAAAAGGAGAAGCTGTTCAATTTGAAAGGAATTGCGGTGAGGGCTAACACCATTCGAAACAAACACTTAGACATAAATTTTGTTTGCCTAAACTATATATTATTGCCTGCCTGCAGCTTGGAAATCCGGTACTAGAATTCGCTACTGATTTCAACTCGAGGGCCGAGTATTTCTGGTCTCATGGACTGATTTCAGATACTACGTACAAACTGTTCACCTCCGCTTGCAACTACTCTCGCTATGTGAGCGAATACTACAGAGGCTCTCTGTCCCCGGTTTGTGCAAGAGTAATGAGCATTGTTAGTAGGAAACAAGTAGGTTTGTCGACAAGTATGATGTCACTCTTGATGTCTGTATATCATCTGTCTTCTCCCAATCTAAAGTCCTCAACCCTCAGGTAGCTAGGTTCAATCATTCATTTTTCGGTTGAATTTTCATCTCTGGCTGGTTTGATGATGATTTTTGTGCAGCATGTCAGGGAGACCATAGATGTTTGTGTCGAAGATGAAACTGTGAATTACTTGAACAGACGAGATGTTCAGAACGCAATGCATGCACGTCTGGTTGGAGTTAACAAATGGCTTGTCTGCAGCGAGTAATATAATCATCTTTCCTTCCTATTCAAATCCAGTGTTTAGCTATGCTTTCTTATGCTTGTATATATTTCCGCGGATGATCAGTGTTTTGGACTATGAGCTGCTTGATATTGAGATACCAACAATCAAGATTGTGGGAAGCATCATCAAGGCAGGAATACCTGTCTTGGTTTACAGGTACTATATATATATTGTTTCAGGAATTAGATGAAACTCCATTGATTGTATACACTGCTTTCTGGTAACAGTGGAGATCAGGATTCTGTAATTCCACTCACTGGAACTCGGAAATTGGTTCATGGACTGGCAGAAGAGTTAGGGTTGAGCACAAGTACACCATACAGAGTCTGGTTTGCAGGGATGCAGGTAATTCCTTGTTTAATATGATGTTTAATCGCTCAACCTTGTGACCCTAGCTGGCAAAGGACTACTACAAAGACAGTAATCTCGCTTAGCTAACTGCCTCAAACCAAAAGGCCAATAGGCCGCTCCTGCTAGGACCTGAGAGTCAAACTTGTAACCTTGTGACGTTGTTTTCAGGTCGGTGGGTGGACACAAGTGTATGGCGACATGCTTTCGTTTGCCACAATAAGAGGGGCATCCCATGAAGCTCCATTCTCACAGCCAGAGAGATCATTGGTGTTATTCAAGTCATTCTTGGAAGGCAGCCCTTTGCCAGAAGCATTCTGAGGAGCATAGAGACTTCAAATTGTACATCTTGATAGGTATAAAGATGTTAATATTTTGGGAATGGAAGTTTGCATTTTCTCCTTTTGTTGTATAAACCAAATCATAGCTGAAAGAATTTCTTTTTGGTTGGTTTGTGTATTTGACATGCCTAAACAGTGCATAAAACTGAGATGAACAAATCAGTCAGTCAGTCATTCTTGACATTCAAACAATCAATCAATGACTTCTTGATGAGCACATAGAAACAACAGTAGGAGCTTCAACTTTCATTTTCAGACAACTAAACTGTAAAGCTAGAATTGGTTTTGAAAGCAACACAGATATGCTGAGGTTTCTCTTATTTGGAGCAACTTCTTGTTCAATTATTGAACTTTGGTTTTGGCATTCACAACTTTCCTTCTCTGCCTTCAATGTAGATGGGCCTGAAACTTTTGCCGGCGCCACTTTCCGCACCCTATAATCACACCAACATCTGTTAAAAATTCATTACAAACAGGGGGCGGCATACATTTTTGAATAAGAAAAGAACCTGCACTCAATCTGGCAAGAGTACTTGAGAAGATTGGGATTATGTTTGGTGCGACCGCTGCAATTTCAGAGGAAGAAATCAGTCTTCAGCTAAATCTTTACACAAAAACTTATGAACCCAAAAGTAGAAATAACAACAATAATCTTTAAGTTCACCTAAAACTAGGGAGCGACATTTTGATGAGCGGGCCCATCCACTCCTCCTTCGAAGGTAGCTTACGAGCTGCCATGTTCAAAGTGGACATTCAAAAGCATTGTCAATCCCTAATACTTTTGCTTTGACAATAATCAGAACAAATCTTAGAACTCAGCAAATATTGTAGGTAGGTGAAATATTACGAAAGAACTTACCTGGAGTGAGTATGTTGATATTGCACATATCCATTGCTCTCGGACCCTTGATCTCGGCTACTTTTATGTCCAAGAAATCATTAGGAGGAGTAGAGGGGAATGAACTCAACCCAATCATGCTTAGGAAGTGATTGCCTTTATTTGATGTCTTTGGAATCGGTTCCATTCTCTGTTTAACATAACGATTGAAGCATGAACTTAAAAGATACAAAATCCTTTCTTCTCAAGATCAAAGTGCATCTCTAAACCACCAAGTAATTTTATCATGGCTCGGTTGATTCCATAGATGTGCGAAATCTAGAGTGCATCAATTACAGAATTATGGTCAATGGTATATCTAAGCTGAAGTGTACCGTACCTTTGAAAATCTGGCTACTTGGCTTGGAAGTCCAACATCCTGAGAATAGCAACATGGGGGAATCATGTTAGGAGATTCCTATGTAATTAATGATAATCCATTTAATTTTCTAAGCAACAATGCGTACCTTTCGTCCATGCATGCATGCCTCATCGCTGTTCACCAGCACCCTGGCAGCCCATCTGTTTGTTGGCAGAGAAATACAATTTGCTAGTTACTCATTTAATTCCCGATTATATGTCTAAAATGCTGATTATCACGATAATGTATAAATTAAATTAACCTATGCTTAAATTTATTTACCACAGCTGCAAATATTCAGTTGAGGAGACTACTGGCAACCTATGGCCACAGTTTAGTTGACATTTCTTAGTTTCAAGTCTGATACATTCTAAATATCAGATGCTTATACAAGTAGGTCAAGATTCTTATGATAAAATATTAAATAAATCTAGAAAACAAATTTTAAAAGCATTACCAAATGAAAACTCCATTATTAAATTGCATGGCACATCAATCTATAATTATTTATAGGAAAATGCAGACCCCCATGGGCACTCATTAGGGAGAACAGCTTCCACTCATCTTCCTCCCCCTACCCCCAACCACCCCTCTTAGTACTCGAGTCCATGAATCTGGACTGGCAGTTCAAACTTGTAAAGACAGACAGACGTTCAAGGTGGCCAAAGTGTTTCTCGAGAATATATACTAAGTGTGCATAAATACATACTCGGAAAAAAGATTCATTGTATGTGTGAGTTAACAGGATTAATGGCTTGAGAAGGACTTACGCGCAAGACGTAGGTGGGTTCCACACAATTCCCGCAAGTACCACAAGCTGAACAATTTGACATTAGAATAACAAGATTAGTGTTACTAGTTGACATTAAATAAGCATAAAGGAGCATTCTTTTATTCCCTCTGTCCAGAGACTTAAAGGAGCATGTTCCAAGACACTGGCAATTGCCCATTTTAAAAAACCAAAATTAATCCTTAAATTGGAACTCGTTAAAGATCTAGCATTGTTACTGAAAAAGAATCATTTTAACTTGATGAAATTAAAAATTAGAATAAACTACCTCGTCAAAAGTTCCAGCAGGACTGTCATCATAACTAGCAAGGAAGAATCCACCTAGAGTATATCTGCATGTAGAATAACACCTACATTTTAAATTTATGAAGATTAAAAAAATCATGACCTCTTTCTTAGCTTACTCCAGCGCTTTAATCATCAGTTTCATAACACAGTTATCAAATGACTCTTCAGCCATGCCAAAGTATGAATACCCGAAAGCCTCAACTAATCTGAACTCTTTAGGAATGAAAGCTCGAGCTGTCTTCGATTTGACAAGATGTAGTTGGTACAAAGCACTGAAACATTTTTAAAAAATGGTTAATAAACGTCCACTGTATTCGTCTGTCTAATGTGGGCAATATAATAGGAAGAGCGCAAGTATATAATTGCAGTATCCTAAGAATTTATCGAACACCACTTGCCTGCCCGTGAATATCCATGGAGGGTTGCCATATCCAGCCGAAGAACCTGTTTGTTTAGTTCCCATGGGCTTGAGTATGGAACAGTAGTATACTAAATCCTAAACGGAGCTGCAAAAAAACAGTTGATCTTGAGTAAAACGTCGTCAAACAGCCAAGAAACAAACAAAAGGGCTTTCTTTGGCCTTCCATTGTAAAGGATATACATATATATATTAGGGGCTGGAATCTTATCCATGTTCATATAATCAATCTAAACAGCTAAACAGGAAACCGGTGTCTAGACAATACCAGTTAACTGTTTTATAGACCTGTGGGTCACTAAGCACTAAAGCAGAGGGGGCATGTGCATAGACAGTTCCAAAACAATTAAGCAGGATACATGTAACCAACTCTGTGCAAGTTGTGCAACTTGCAATCAATCCAGATTTTTACATCATCACCTAAGTACAAAAAGTTGCTTTTTTTTTTGGTTGCATATAAAGAACATGATTGGCCAACCCAATCTAACAAGAAAACCAGACACAACGAACAAAGCAAAACTACTGAAAAGATGTCCCAAAGCAGATTCAAGATTGAAGCCCTGAGGCTGTTCTTCAAGAATTGATGCCTGGCACTCTGGCAGGCAGGCCCCACATAGGCTTCACTAACAAGTAACTTTACCTGCTTCATATTTCCATTCTATTTTGAAGGTTGGCAAGTATATGCCAGCCATATCAATCAATTAACAACCAATTCAAGCAAATATTTTCAAATAAAAACCAAAGCCAAACAAGTACTACTCGAAGAAACAAAAAGAAGCACACTCAAAGCAGAAAAGAAATTATGCAGAAATCCCTCCTACATTGGGTATTTAGCCCATTCCACTTGAGAAGTCAGGGAGGGTATATGCAAAGTTGTTAATTCAGCACAGACAGAAGCGATATGATGAAGAATGAATGATATGGCAAAAAACAAAAAAAACAAAAAAAAAAAAAAACAAAAAAAAAAAAACAGTAAAGGGAGGTGGTTTGAACTTACAAAGATTGAATTTTGGAGCTAAAAAGTGCAAGAATTTGGAAGAAAACCTAAGCAGAGAGCATCCTGGCTTGAGGAGAGAGGTATGTAGGAGGGGACCGACAGACATATCACCTATGGGCTATGGAGCTGAAGTTAATGAAAGACGTACGTTTACGTTACATCACCACCAAAATCAAATAAGTGGATAAACTAAAACTGCTCCAACTGATCGACTTTCTCATATAATATAATACTCCTCAGCTCCTTCATTAATTTATCTATCCTCTCACGGTTTTACCGGCGTACAGCAAAACCACACCATTCGCATCTCATCTCACACTGCTTTTAATTTGTCATCTTCTTTAAAATCCCTTTATTTTATTAGTCCAGTACTGCCCCGGCCCCCGCCTGCTCAAATCTCCTATTTCTCTCAACTCTCAAATAAACCTCATCTTATCTTTTATGGGGATTGGTAAAAGTGTAAAACCAAGAAAGCCTGAGAGAAAAGAAAATGTTTGGGAAATGGCGGTTAAGTTAAATTTTGGCTCATTTGATTATGTTTTGTTAATTTGATTAGTAATAACTTACTTTAAATGTTTGGTAAAATAATTTATTGAGACAATTTGAAAAACTAAGAATAGTAAAAAAAAAAAAAAGAATTGTTAATTTATCGACATTAATAATAAAATGAACATTTTATTCTTATCATCCCTAATATTTATATTTCTCTTGCTTTTCATGTGTTTTTTTTTTCTTTTTGTTTATATAACAACAATAATAATATTTTTCTTTCTTTTTGATTTCACTTATTCTTGTAATCAATAATTATAAAAGTAATTTAAAGATTAAGAAATTTGCACAATATATTTAATTATACAATCAATTAAAAATAAATAATTAATTTCTCAAACACTTTTTTACAACTAACTAATATTATTAACTGGTCAAATCAACTAACTCAATTAAGTATCAATTATGAGCTAACTTAATGAAGTATAAATTATTAGGTAACCACCATTTGTCAAATACCCCAAAATATTTATGCACGACAACCCACTAACTAAATTAAGAAGCTCGAAAAACATGGTGTATATTTTCTTGTAGGACCAACAGATAACAAAAGTGGATCCAAAAGATCATAAACAAATGAAAAGAAAACAAGATAAAATGCTTGGTAAGTAATTACCTACCCAACAAAAAGAGTCACCTTTTATTTTTTAAACCAAAGGCAAAAATCTATTAATATATTATTAGAGTTGAGTTTGGTGGCAAATTAAACAATTTGATTGTTATTTCTAATATATGATGATTTGTATGGTTTCAATTCAAATTATCAATAACATACTTTGTGGCAAATTTTACGAGTATGATGTATATGTCATTTTAATTACACTTTAATTTCATTTGACAATATTGTTTTGTTTTTTATTTTTATTTTTATTTTTCCTCTATACTAGTTTCGTTATAACAATACTAAAGTATCATTTTAATTCTACTATAGTTTTATTTGATAGTATACATTATTGCTTGATCTCTATTTTTTGTTTCATTTTTCACATACACACTAGTCTAATTATAGTAATGTTGAAATATTATTTTAATTGCATTTCAGGTCATTTGACAATATATGTTATTGTATAGTTTGGGATTTTAGTTTCATTTTTCACACATACTAGTTTCATTATAGTAATATTAAAATATCATTTTAATTCCTTTCAGACAAAAGTATCATTATACTACAATTTCATTTGAAAATAATATACTCCGTTTTTCAGTTTCATTTTTTACACACACTAATTTCATTATAGTAATACTAAAGTATTATTTTAATTCTACTATATTTTTATAAAATGATCATGGTACACCCAACGATATGTGGACCAATGGTCCACACTTGATACTTTGTGGACTTGTCGTCATATGATTACATAATAAGTTTTTTTTTTTTTTTGTGAGAAAAATGATTACGTAATAAGTTAGTAATCTTTTTTTTTGAAAATTACTGGCTCTATTACATTGTAGTATCTGTTCATATACTTTCTCAACCTACTGAAACACAAAGAACCAATAACGCCTCCACTGAGGCTTGAACTCATAATCTTCCAAATGGAAGTCCAACCCGGGTACTATTAGACCACATAGTCCTGATTAATAAGTTAGTAATCTAAAATTATGAAATCTTATTACCACTGTTGTTGACTTGTTGGATATTACCATTGTTGTTGACTTAGCTCGTTGGGTAATACTGTCTTTGATCATATCAATTGTGTTGATCTAGATTTGTTGGATGGTAAGATGGGTTGAAAAAATTAGCATAAAATGACATTTATAGTTAAGTTTTTTTGTGGCTTAAACCCAATACATCTAGTTAAGTTGAAAAAGATTCGTTAATTTATCCACATCAATCACACGAGTCATTAGTCAGATATGTTTAATTTGATATATTATATATTCAAAACGGATAATTAACCAATGAGAAAATAGCATTTATGACACTAGTCAAGGACTTTGTAATCCAATGACATCAAGTTACTCACTCAAGTGGAAGGTTGTGGGATCGAGTCTCAGTGGAGGCCAGGCGAAAACATCTATAATAATTATTATGTCATTGGAGAAATAAAACTTTTAAAGAATTTTAAGTAACATTTATCTCACACTTAAAAAAGTAAGTGTGTATGTCCCTCTCTCTCTCTATATATATATATATATATATATATATATATATATATATATATATATATATATTGAATCCAGTGCACCCCCTATTCAGGTGAGTTCGTGAGATTCAATCCTGAGCATTCGTTTTGTTATTTTAATGGTTTAGATTTATCAATTGTTTTAAGTAATACGCGCTGTTTTTTAACCTGCTGAGGGGTGTTTGGGTAATTTCGTATTGGCATTAATTTGTTTCCATTTACACACCGTGAATTTTCTTTCTTTCATTATTTCCTATGTATCGAGATTCCCAAATTCTTCCGATTTCCTCTCGTTCTCATCGCCTCCTCCCGTCCCTCTGTCTCTCTGAACAACCAATCTTCGAACCAATCTCTAAAGCCGTTTCCTCGATCGGATTCTCCATAGCTTGGTTTTCCATCCGATTGTCAAAGCGTCGGAAGAGGGAGGCTACCGGTGGTGTTTAAGGTATTCCTAAGTCTTTTTTTTATTCGTATTTTTGTTTCTATCATTTTGTTCGAAGATTAGTTCGACGGTGGTCGGTGGCAACTAGGGTTTTCGCATTCCGACGAGGCGGGCTAGGTTTTTGGTTGGAGACAGTTTTTTTTTTTTTTAATTGTAAACAGGGTGTTGGTTTGGTAGTGGGGAGAGGATGTGTGTTTGTTCTGGCGGTGGGGGGTATGATGTGATTAGAGTTAACGAGATTCAGAAGTTTTTGGACATCTCTTCGGTTCAGACCTACATTATCAACAGCGCTAAAGTTGTGTTCTTGAATGAACGGCCGCAGCCCAGGCCGGGAAAGGGCGTCACCAATACCTGTGAGGTCTGTGAGCAGCTTCCTTGATTCCTTCCGCTTCTGCTCTCTCGGTTGCAAGGTATTCTTATTTACTGCATTTTTTCTAACGATTTTCTTGCTTTTAATCCGGGAAAAAAATCTAAATAACCCCACATGATTGATTGGAGTATCTTGCCATCTTCAATTCTCTTCTTCTTCTTCTTCTTCTTCTTCTTTGTGTCCTCTTTCTGGTAGGCCGGCCGACGGATTAGTCTGGCATATTATTGGCTTATTAAAGCAGCCATGCTCCTGGGGGACCCCTCCATTCATCTTCTTTGGCTAGGCATAACTGTTGTTGTTTCAATCTTTCTGGGTTTGGGTTCTTGGTAATAATAGCAGTTTTACTTCTTTCTTCTGTTGTGATTACCTGTAGTGGCGCCTTCAATAAATTTGACCGTGAGGCTTTGGTGTCCTTCTCCCTTAACATCTCCAGTTCATCTTCTCCCTTAGATTGGCCCAATTCAAGTGAGTGCTGTGACTGGGAGGGTGTGGGGTGTGATGGAAATGGGAGAGTGACACGGCTATGGCTGCCATCCAGGGACCTTGTTAGAAGCATTGCTCTTGCAGTGGCAAACCTCACCGGTCTCTCCCAACTCAACCTGTCAAATAATAGGCTGTCTCGGTGCAATGTTGTTGATTATTTTTGGTCCTTTTGGTGTAGGGGTAGGAAGCTGGATGTTTTTTATTACTATTTTTGGTGTGTGCCTGCTCGGGTTTTAGTTCATTGGTATGGACGTAGCAAAGGCGTGTGAGTGTGCATTGGTAGGCTTTAGTTTGTGCTTATTGCGTGTGTCACTCTATCTATTATGAACTGCGTTTTTTAGCTTCTTCGGTCTGCTTGTGATTGGTTTAATTCTCTTTGTTTTTGGTGTTATTTTAAGTATGTTTGCATTTTTAGTGGTTATTATATATTGTAAGTATATTCATTATGCCATTTGCAGGTGATGGTGTTCCTGAGCCCGTTTGTGTAGCTGATCCGGTGGCACCTTTGCCACATCCGGAAACAGTTGGAGTGGCCGAAGAACCCGAACGGCCGATGAATTTGCCACAACCTGAAGCAGTTGAAGTGCCCCAAGCCCCGATCACCCGGCGCCCGATGTGGGTGGGTCAATGCGTATCTCTGCCTCAGAGTGTGCTTGGTTTTGTAATGTAATACTTGGTTTTGTAATGTAGTGCAGTGTGTTATTTAAATGTTCAATATTGTACAAATTGCATATCAATGATTCACCATAGTAGGTATACTTTGATTTATGATCCATTCTTGTGTAATTTAGAATGTGTTACTTCTTTAAATTTTTCATATGTCATAGCTTATTCATAGATTATTATATCGTTTGTGCATATAGAGGGTCTGGTATGTGCACATTGATATTCAGTGTGTTATAAACATGTTTTTTGTATTAAATAATACCACGGTGTTTTTAGTCATTGGTATGTGCGTAGCAAAGGCGTGTGAGTGCAGTGAAAGGATTTAGTTAAATAATACCATGGTGTTTTTAGGGTAATTGGTATGTGCGTAGCTGGCGCGTGTTAGTGTGCATTTCCGGTCTGTGCGTGTGTGTATATAGATTGTGCGTAATACGCTTTCGGTACATAAACAATGCCAATTTTCCCTAAGAGCTATACATGCGATATGCACAGACCTATATCCTCATACGCACTTTACACTGTAACTTTCATCAATACAGTGATATTAGTTGTACTCACCGTGCTTACCCTCCCACACTGTTCCAGTTCTTTAAAAAATTCGATCAAACCATAAATTCAACATTATAACATTCTACGCACATACTATTTGCTGTCTACACATCATCCCGCCATCCTATCGGTCAAACAAATAACCATGTACGCACCCACCTGAACACGAACACGCTACGCGCGTCAATGGACTAATACTTCGTCCAACAACCACACCCCCCCTCCCACCCCATCCGGGGAAAAAAAACCCATTCTTCAGTATATGCACAGACGTTGACATGTAAATGCACAGACCTATTTCTTCATATGCTTTTGTTTTTTGTACAGGCGATATGCACATGCCTATTTCTTCATATGCTTTTGTTTTTTGTATTTGGTGTGTGCATTGGAGTGTTATGACGTGTACAATAGACCACATGGTGCAAAGTTCCATTGCCAAAAATTTGCACAGGCCATACCATAAAAATGCACACACCAGTGTAAAAACAAAACTAAAAAAATGACATGATGCTAAGTTCATTTTCCAAAAATTTGCAAATGCCAAATCATACAAATGCACACACCACCGTAAAAAAAAAAAGAAAAAAAAAACCTATTAATTTTTACAATATATTCTTTGTAAAACAAGTCAACCACAAGAAATCACGCACAAGAAAAGGTCTGTGCATATAGTGGTTGCATATTATAAGGATTGTGGTTGTGGTTTTTTTTTTTTCACAATCTTTCACAGGCGAAATACACTCATTGTTGTCTATGCATCCTCCTGTCAACCTATCGGTTTCACAAACAGACATGTATGCAACCACCTGAACACGCACATGCTACGCACATAACAGATATTCTAGTTCGTCCACCAACCCCCACCCCCCTCCCACCATCCCAGGGGAAAAAACCCCAATATTCAGCGTATGCACAGACGATGGCACGTAAATGCACTTACCCGTTCGTTTTCTCCTCAAGCCTTGTTCACGCCAAGTTCACCTCATCAGCCTTTGTAGTAATTCAAAGTATTAATTTCCATCCATAAACTCCCTAATTTAATGCTACAGATTCCAATAATATTATGTCCATAAATAAATTAAAATTACAATTACTAATATATCATTTACATTGGAAAATGTCCTTAATTACTACCCTAATCTCTTATAATCTCAACCATTGATGGAAATTGAATCAATGGATATTAGGAGGCCTCATGGTCTCATCTATTAGAGGGGGTGCACCGGATTCGAAGCATATATATATATATATATATATATATATATATATATATATATATATATATATATATATATATATATATATATATATATATATATATATATATATATATATATAGGGAAGGGATCAAGTGCATTTGAGGCGTCCCGTGCGATTGTGCGGGTAGCCGTTAAGTACAAGTCTCACGCATGTTAAGCACAAAAACACACGCACCTTAAGTTTTAAAAACAACTCACATTAAGTACACACTCACGCACATTAAATACAAAACTCACACACCTTAAGCACACGACTCATGCACATTAAGCACAAAACTCACGCACATTAAGCATAAAACTCATGCACTTTAAAGTTTCAACAATAACTTACACAACAACTCACATTAAGTACACACTCACGCACATTAAGCACAAAACTCACGCACATTAAGTACAAAACTCACGCACATTAAACATTATACACGCACAAGTCTCACGCACATTAAGCACAAGACTCACGCACATTAAGCACAAAACTCGCGTATATTATTCACCCGCACAACCGCACGAAAAACACTTAAATGCACCTGAACTTGAACACACACACACACACACACACACATATATATATATATATATATATATATGTGTGTGTGTGTGTGTGTGTGTGTGTGTGTGTGTGTGTATATGTATATGTATATAGTAAGGTTCAAGTGCGGCGATGTCATATATATATATATGTGTGTGTGTGTGTGTGTGTGTGTGTGTGTGTGTGTGTGTATATGTATATGTATATAGTAAGGTTCAAGTGCGGCGATGTCCTTAGGTGCAGCGGTACGGTGTCACCAATAGTTCAACAAATATACACCATCAACGTTAGGAAAATGCACCATAAAAACACACACAAATTAGGTACGCATCACAAAAAACACACAATTAGGTGTGAGTAAAAAATAACATACAGTGTTCGGAAATACACCATTGGTGTGGCGAGTTATATGGTGTATTTTTTGGGTTTTTTTTTTTTTTTTTTTTTTTTTTTTTTTTTTTTTTTTTTGCATTTCATTGTGGTGTGTTTTCCTTACACTGTTGGTATATTCTGAAATTCCGCCACACCGCCGCACCTAAGGACATCGCCACATTTGAACTTTTTCCTATATATATATATATATATATATATATATATATATATATATATATATATATATATATATATATAAACTTTTTGAATAGTATAAAATATATAGCTAAGAGGTTTTTTTTTTTTTTAACTATAAAATTATCAAACATATTTTTAAGGGATTTTATGATTAACCGGGCACGAAAGGGCAATAACAATGTATCAAGTCATGATTATTATCATTCAATTAAAAAAAAAAACCTCCTACATTAGCATTACTTTAGTGGATTTGAAGTCTCAAATAATTGGGTTCAATTTCTATTCCAAATATGGATGAAAAGCCTTACTTAAAACTTATTTTCAGCAGTACAGAACGGTGGGAGTTCAATTCTTCCCACAATGCAAATAGAAAAGTTTAAGTTTCGATTAACTTTTTTGTGTGTAAAAGTGTATAGTAAAATTGTATATATAATATATGATTTTGTACAACTATTGTGTACTGTATATTTTTTAAAGTATAATAAAGGGATATGACAAAAGTAGGGTTGAATTGTCCATCAAATATTATGCTTGAGTAGGATTGCATGAAGGAATTGCAGATCATAAAAAGGAGCAGGTATGTATGTGCATGTCACTTTCGTGGCTTGAATAACTTGGCATGCATCCATGCCACTAAGCAAAGTGCCCAATCAATGAACTTTATTTACTTGGACTACTCCCTCAAAGGAATTTGGCGCCCCCTATTGCCAGTATACAGTTGTGATATGATGCCTGCAAGCTTAATGATTAATTATATATATTCTTGGATTACCACAGGGCACACAGGTAGTGCAGCTATTATATTGTTTGGTGGTGTTGATATCAGACCAAATAAAATGGCTAAGTCTTTTGCTGTGAACAACAGTACACCTGTTATTTATCGTCTCTGCTAAACTGATACTCTATTACATTGTAGTATCTGTTCATATACTTTCTCAACCTACTGAAACACAAAGAGCCAATAACGCCTCCACTGAGGCTCAAAATCACAACCTTCCACTTGGAAGTCCACCCCAGATACCATTAGACCACATAGTCCTGGTCTGCTAAACTGATATATATTATTGTCTTCTCACTAGGATTATATATATATGTATCATAGAGATATCACATAATTAGATATCATTGATTTTTTAAATTATAAATCTCATCATCTATAATTACTTTCTTATTTCGATTCTAACAATTTGTTTCCCCATATAAGTTTTGTTTGTCGTTAAGTTGTTCTACGTTGAATCCAATTTTGAGCATGATAGATTTTAGTTATAAAATTTACACAACAAGGTCATATGCTTTGTCATGTATATTTATTAAGGCTGCATAACCATCTTTCCATTGTGTTTTTCCTCTACAGATAATGTTGAGGGGAATCATAATATTAATAATAATGAGACTACTTGGTACAAAATTAAAGTACTTTGAGCCACAAATATGAGAAATGCATATCTTATGTAGGTAGATAGGGATGATAATGGGTTGTGAGGATTACATCCACCATCTGATTCACCTTATACTTTTTTCACTCACTCCATTCCTGAATCGTATCGGGTGGCCTTTTTCAAAACATACCACTATTCTATCGAGTGCAGGTATGCGCATGGGTACCCATCACTTTTTATATTATTAATTTTTTAAATAATATTTTTTGAATGCTACCGACTCTATTACAATGTAGTAATAACGCCTCCAGTGAGGCTCGAACTCACAACCTCCCATATGGGAGTCCAACCCGGGTCCCATAAGTTCATATTTACTTGCATTTTACCTTATATTTAATCCTATTTTCAAGCTCTAAAATGTAGTTATCATATTCAAAAGAGCTCTTATTTGTGTTGTTTGTGCCTTTAGGTATAATATCTCACTTGAAAAAAAAAAAGTTATTTTCATACATTTAAGAGGATATTAGAGTCAAATGAAAAATTAGACCAACAATAGATGAACAAGGAGCCCAACAAGAGAACTGACACAGCTAGAGGCATGGTCATTTTCGTGGTCGTGCCAGGGCAATTTATATCCTACACCACGGCGTACATTGCACTATGCGCCCAGATGCAAAACGACGTCGTTTTAATTTTTTTTTTTTTGAAATTTCCCGCCCCAGTGAATGGCAGTAGGCTTTTCTTTAAAAAAAAAACCCGCTGTTCAAGAATGTACATAATGTTATACTTGAATACACATAATGTTATACATGAATACACATAATGTTATAACAAAATATACATACTCTTTTTAAAAGATAATACACATAATCTAACATAATACATAATAAACATAAACTTTTAACATAATACACATCAACTCTTAACATAATACACACAAATTTTCTGATTCGGATGTACATAATTGTATAAAAACAATGTACATAATTGTATAAAAAATACACATAACTGTATGAACCAATACACATAACGTTGTGAACGAATACACATAATCTCAGCAACTTCCTACCGCGCCTCCCAACACGACCCCAAAACGACGTCGTTTTGGGAGGCGCGCGGCGCACAGTGCTATGTGCGCCGTGGTGTAGGATATAACGATTGTCGTGCCAGGTACCACCCCATGCCTGAATGAATTAGCACGATTGTGCCAATCGAGGCAGTGAGCTGTGAGCATTTATTTTTGGGTAGAATTCGGCACGGCCAGTAACACAACCATGCCCTTGGTCGTGCCACTTTGCAATTTCTCTCTCTATTTTGTCTGTATACATGCATTCTAAACAATATTTAAGCATTTTGTGCTGCATTTTAGGAGGAGTTCGAACCCTAAACAGTCTTAGCTTATTTCCCTTCATTTACTATCATTACCTTACAACTTAGCTTATATTAGCATCGATTACATATTATCAACACTTACCAAAGATGTAATCGAATATTAATTTTACCATCAATTTCAAAATTATTCACCTACTTTCAATATATAATTTTATCTTTCATTTCATTTCTCTTATCCTATGTTTATGCTTTTCATTTGTGTTTTCACTTTATTTATGCTAAATATGTGTAAGTAGTTCCATTTAGGACTTAGTTTCGGGTAGTTTAGTATATCTAGATGCTTTATTTGTAATTCTTGCATAAAGGGGATAAAACCTAGTCAGGGTTCTTGATGTTTGCGTGGGAATTGGGTTTTATCTTGTTGATGTGTGGTGTGCAACAATCATTGGCAAGCCTTTGGAGGAAATTAAATCAAATGAGAGTTGGATTGAATTTTCAAGACACTCATTGCACAAACTCTATTTCTCATTATGAGAATAGGGGAAATATAGGGATTTTAATTGTTTTGTGTTCTTGATTCTTGAAGGACTTAGAATTTAGGCATCACGAGAGTGGGGTAGTTCCTAGTTCTAATCCTTGTTTATTCGATAACGCCTTCTTATCTTTCTTTTTCTCGAGATCTCTGGCAATACTGCAAGTATTCCATTTACAACAACACCCAACAACTCATGATAATCGAATAACACCTTCATTTGAACACACCATCAATATCAAGGCAAATTATGTCGTGGAAACGTGTTCACCATGCTTGGTGAACACGGTCCCAAACGACATCGTTTTTACCGGAAAAAAAATTAGTTAATGTGCTGTTAACGGCGTTTTGCATTCTATGTTCATATTATGAATTTACATTTATTAAATTATGAATTTTCTGTTATGAGATTATGAATTTACAGTTATGTAATTATGAATTTTCTGTACATTCATAATCTCATAACAGAAAATTCATAATCTCATAAAAGAAAATTCA